CCTGAACTAGACCATTCACCAACCAGTCAATTCCACGAAGTTAGCAGTAGCCTTGTGTATCAAATTATAGGAAGAGAGTTTTTGGTCTCCCCACACCCATTTCCCCTTTATCTTCACACTTAGGGCACAGAACTCATGTAGGCTGCAGAGCACCTGCCCAACTCCTCCCACTCTGATCTCTGCAGCTGGTCAGCAGCAACCCCACACTGCCCTGCCCTGCATAGGGGTTTGAGGACTTCCGAAGCCAAAACGACCAGACTGTGATGACTAGGAGTAACCCACCAGCTTGTTGGACTCCTTCCTGAGGAAGAACTGCACCCTTCAAAGGCCTATCAGACCTCAGGAATGAAATCCTAAAGAGAGGGCTGCCCTCAGCTTCCTTCCTTGACCTGCCTTACCTTCTTATAGAACTGGTAACAATAAGAGCAATGCATCCAAAGCCACAAATTTTTGTTTGGCTTTGCATATTTATTTGCTTTTCTTTTCTGTCTCCTTCCATTAGCCTGGAACATATTAAAGAACCTTTCAATGAATGCTCCTGGTTGACACTGTGGCCAACCCTTCTCTGTGTTTACAGGGAAGCCCTCCCAGGTTCAGCTATAATTAGAAGTCAATTAAATTAAAACCCTGTGTGATGTTCTTGGAAGTCCTTCAAGTATCAGCTTGCCTTGGGAGAGCCTCTGGTGTGATTTGGTGGAAACCTGTCTCTGCCACCTGCTGTCCTAAAGGAAAGACCAGGTTGTCAGTGAAATCCTTTGGAGGCCAAGGGAAATTAGGCCCTAAGTTCCCTTTTGACCTTTATTTCAACACTGTCTTACTCACCTGGAGAGACAGCAGGCCAGGCCTCCCTCCACTTCTGACCCTACCTACCCCAGCCTTCTCACTGCTAGAAAGAAAGCACCCAGAATTTCACCATGGTGTGTCTGGGTGTTCTAATCTCACCTTCATCCATTTAGTGTCTTTCAAACATAAATATGGTACTGAATTGCAAGACAGTGTGCTAGAAAGAACAAAAGGGCAGGTTTTGTCTCCCTGCAACACATTCCTGAAACCTCGCTCTTTCTCAAAGGCCACCTGACGTTATTCACCAGGTGAGACACTATAGTCTAAGTTAACTGTGCCCATAGGGGATAGATCCTGAGAAAGATCCAGACTCCCTGGGATGTCCTTCCCCTGCCTGTGCTCTGTACAGAGATTGGCTTCTTCCTCCAAAAAAAAGTTGTTATTGTCCTTTTTCCTGATCATATAGTTCATACATACTCTTCCAAATCTTTCTGATGGTAGGAACCATATAAAAAGGGAATGTTTCCCATACCTTCCTTCAATCCTTTTTCACCCCCACAATTTCACTCCCTGCCAAAAAAAAAAAAATCTTCATTGAAAAAGCAGTCATCATCAGAGGCAGATCCAGAAAGAAAACTCAGCGATCTCCTACTATAGAAGTTCACACCACAACATCAGGAAGTCAAGACAAATCAATTTAAGAAGCAGAAGCAAAAAAGAAGAGTCTCACAAATAATGGGAAGACAAAGAAACACTCCCCAATCGAAGGGAAAGGAGGATCCCCACAAAGAGAACCAAATGAAACAGAGGCAAGTAAACTATCAGATGTTGAGTTCAAAACAATGGTTCTAAGGAATCTCTGTGAGTTCTATGAGCTCAAAGAGAATTACAAAACCCACAGGGAGACTACAAGGAACTTACTGCAAACTATATCAGCATGAAAATGGACATAGGAACTATTAATAAGAGGAAATGAAGAATACAATTCCTGAATTGAATAACACAGTAGACGGAATCACAAGCAGGCTAGATGAAGCAGAGGATCGAATCAGTGAGCTGGAGGACAAGGTAAAAAAAAGCTCCCAGAAAGGGCAAGAAGGTGAAAAAAGACTCAAAAAGAATGAAGAGGCATTGAGGAAAATGCAGGACAACCTGAAACGTAATAATATCTGTATAAGAGGAATGCCAAAAGGAGAAGAGGAACAAGGCATAGAGAGCCTGTTTGAAAAAGTAAGGATGGAAAACTTCCCTAACTGGAAGAGAGAAAAAGTCACACAACTCCAGAAAGCACAGAGGGTCCCATTCAAGAGGAACCCAATGAGGCCCACTCCAAGACACATCATCATTAAAATGGCAAATACAAAAGATAGAGAATCCTAAAGGCATCAAGGGAGAAAGAGGGAGTCACATACAAGGAAGCCCCGACAAGGCTAGCAGCTGACTTCTCAACAGAAACACTACAAGTAAGAAGGGAATGGCAAGAAATATTCCAAGTCATGAAAAGCAAAGGCCTGTGACCAAGACTGCTCTACCCAGCAAGGCTCTCAATTAAAATGGAAGGAGAAAGAAGGAGTTTCCCAGACAAAAGAAGGCTAAAAGAATACACCTCCACCAAACCAGTATTTCAAGATATGCTAAAGGGACTGCTTTCAGAAGATGAAGAAAAAGAGTCTATGAATACCCAGTTCCTTTCACAGTCACCAATGCTTGTTATTATTAATATTTCTAATACTAATTTATCTGTGACAATGATGTGTAATTTTAGTTGTTCCTTTATTATTTGTTGAAACTAAACCTGTTTTTGACTCTTTCTCTTATTTTTAAAAAGCTTTAAATGACTTTTTGGTATTCTTTATCCAGTTTTTGATTAAATATTTGTAGAATGTTTTCCCTAAAAAAAAAAAAAAAGCAAACTATTAACCCTTTTTTAGGTGTGTTGCGAATACTTTCCTATTCTATTACTTGTCCTTTAACTTTTTTGATATGTATATTACTGCATAGTCTTAAATGTTTAATATAGCCATATTGTCAATATTTTACTTTATAGTTTCTGAGTTTGAGTATTTTACCTCAGGGAAAGAAAAATATTATTTTGTATTTTCTCCTAAAACTCCTTAGATTTTACATATTGATTTTTAACTCCCCTGAATATTTTTTGTATAATGTGTGAAATAGGGCTCTATATTTGTCTTATTTCAAGTAATAGTGGATCACACACCTTATTTGTTGAATAAACCTTATTTTTGCCCATTGATTTGAAATATCAGCTTAATTATGTATTACATTGTGAGACAGATATATACATTTGTTTCTAGAATGCTCATTTTATTTCATTGATCTACTCAATTATTTCTGTGCTGGTATCATGTTGTTTTAATTGCTGAGACTTTATAATGGATTTAAATCTTTTAATATTTTATAATGGATTTTTACATTTAAATATATAAATAAATAAATAAAATCTGCATTGAAAAGGAAAAGAAAGAGCAATGGCTGTCACTCCAGACCTGCTTCTGTGTATACAGAAACTTTTGCAAATACGAATGTGGATGGCCTGTGTGATTTCTTCCTGTATCGACCCTGCACAGTGTTCCACTAGATTTCTTGTTAGTTATAATGACAAGTAAGCAAGAGTGTTAAAGCTTGATTTTACCCAGCCTCTTATGGGCAAAGGGTTGGAGGTGAGAGTAGGTATTGGACAGGCATCCTGTAGTTGAGGGGAGCCAGAGCCACATGTTCCCTGGAAGGGAGGCTGAACCTGAGAGGCAGGTGGTCTCAGAGCTCTTCAGATTTGTCCCCACCTAGCCTCTCACTACATATTTATGCAAGGTGCTTCTGCTAAATATGCATTCTCTCCTCCATTACTCAAATCTTACTGAGCAAGGTGCTAAGTCCTAGGGGAGAGGGTGAATTAGAAAAGATCTACCATGTCTGTTCACTTAAAGAGTTTACTTGTCCTCAGCACCAGCCCCACCCAGTCACCCCAGTAACTGGCCATTGATTTTCGCACTCCTCGCCTTTCCCCATCTCCTGACTTGCTCAGCCCTCCCTCTTTCTCAAACTTAACTTCCTGTTTCCAATAAATAATCTTTTGGCTGCTTTTCTCCCTGCTGCCTTTAGGATATTGTATTGTAAAGATTAAGTTCAGGTCTTTTCTCCTAAAAACAAACAAACAAACAAACAAACAAGCAAGTGAACAAAAAGCTGGAATTCCCATTTATCAGTTTCCTAGTTTCCTGCTTTGTGTTCCTGTATAGTCATTTTTGGGTGGTATTTGGGGATAACAATGGCTTATGGAAAAGAGCATTCACAGATGACTCATGGTCTGAGTCAGTGGTTGATTCTGCAGGCTCCTCACATAACTCAGCATGCTGTTTTGTCACTAATTCATCCCTTCTGTAAAAGCAAGGTGACAGTGACCCAGCATGTGGCCACTGGGGAATTTAGGTGCTCACATGAGCACATTGTCTCTCTTTGTATAGCCAGGCTCCCAGGTAAAACTGCTTTGACTTGGAAACAAATGTCTCCCATTCTGACAGTGAAAAGGTGAAAAATAACACCTCCTCCTTCAAAGTAATGCATTAATTTAGTAGTTAGGGGAAAGCCTTGAATGCCTGAGCTGTAGCCATCCTCTGTTAGCTGTGTCACCTTAGGCAAGTCACTAACATCTCTGTGCTTCAGTTGTCTCAACTCTACAGTTCAGTGGTTGGACTGATAAATTCTCCCAATTACTTCTATGGATGACCTATTCTTCACAGACAGAGGGAAGACCTCCCAGAGGAGCTGGGAGAACACAAAGTAAGGTGGGGAGAAGGCACTAACTCCAGGTCTCCCCTGGAGCCAGTGGATCAACACTAGCCTAGAGCACACATGCCAGGGTTCTTCAGACTCTCCCAGAAAAAGAAACAAGTGGTCATTGCTCAGCTTCAGCTGTGGCCTTGAGTGTGCTCTGATCCCTCCTCTGTGGAGCTCTTCCCCAGGAATGGGGTGACACTAGGCGGACAGTGATGGAATGAGTCAGTCCAAGGGGTCTGGGGCTCAGTTTAAATCTGCCTTTTCCTTTAAGGCATATTCATTCCTCCGTCTGCTTGCTGGGAGGTCCCTCAGAACCAGAAGAATACAAGGAAGGCAGCTGGACCCAGGATAGGGGCAAGGCCACAGCCAAACAACCCTGGAGCAGCCTCAGGTCCTGCAGGCCACTGCTACTCACTAAATGTGTCTTTCAGGTGAACCTGTGAGAGAGGATGGCCCACATAGGAGACTACAAACTGATGCCCTGGCTCCCCGTCCTGGTGGTAAGTGGGTCACAGCACCTGCCTTGTCCATACTGTATCCTTGGCCCAGAGAATACCCATGGTAGCCCTGGTGGAGATTCCAGTGGGAGCTCCCATCCAGTCTGTGTCCTTCACCAGCTACACAACCTGGGGCAAGCTCCTTGGTCTCTTAAGCCTCAGTTTACATGGCTATATAATGAGAACAACAGTAAAAGCACCATCTTCACTTATAATGCCTGCAATACCCTGAACAGTGCCAGGGTTCAAATTAGACCTCCCTGGCTGGTGGCTCCCTTTATAGGGTTTCATGGATAGCATGACCCAAAATGCTTATTTGCATTGTGATATACACAACCAAGTCTGTGTGATGAGCCACACTGGTGGGCCACACAGACCACAAAGACCCAGAACTTCACCACAGGGCTCCTCCTCAGGTGGGAAGAGGCACCATGCAACTGAAAGACCTGCTGTTTTAGAGGCTGGGGGGAGAAGCTGCCTCATCCATGACTTTGGAAAGAATGAAAAAAAGGTTTCTTAGGTGAAGAGAGTTTGGATCAGGCCTCAAAGATGGAATAGGTATGGAAAGGGGAGTCAGAAATGAGGCCAGACTGTGCAGGCAGGGTTGTCTGCCCAGTTTATTAACTAAAGTTCCTGGAGATGGGGTACCAAATAAGTGCTGACCGAGCGGAGCTCCCACCATCAGACTCCCTCCTCACCCAGCCTTGGGGCTATCTGGGCACAGACCCCAAGTACCTATGTGTGTCTTCAAGGAGACGTGGAAGTCAAACTACCCCTTTCTTGTGGCAGGTATCTCTGATGTGCTCTGCCAGAGCAGAATACTCCAACTGTGGTGAGAATGAGTACTATAACCAGACCACGGGGCTGTGCCATGAGTGTCCCCAGTGTGGGCCTGGGGAAGAGCCATACCTGGTAAGGCCCTCCCACCCGGCCATCAGACCACAGTCCCCTTCCCCTTCCTAGGACTGGTGATCTCTCCCTCCTTCACAGGGTGTTGTTGCCCTATCTCATGTTGCTCTACATGTGGTCCCTAAGCTTAATCAGTGCCCAATGCACCTGATATGCCCATTGTGTCTGGCATGCCCAAAGACCACGGGTTTGGTCATGGCAGGCACAACCCTATACTCACCTGTGTCCTCTGTCCTCTTCCTTGGCCAGTCTTGTGGCTATGGTGCCAAAGATGAGGACTATGGCTGCGTCCCTTGCCCAGCAGAGAAGTTCTCCAAAGGAGGCTACCAGATATGCAGGCGCCACAAAGACTGCGAAGGCTTCTTCCGGGCCACTGTGCTGATGCCAGGGGACATGGAGAATGATGCTGAGTGTGGGCCTTGTCTCCCTGGGTAAGCATGTGGTTCTCCAAACCACACCCCAGACACATTCTGTAGAAAGCCTTAGTATCTCATTGGTGAGGCCCCCTGGGAACATGAGCACCTCAGGTCTGCAGTGTAGCGTCATTCCTACTGTTTGTCCTGTTCTACAAGAGGCAGCTTGGCAGAGAGGAGGGCACATGCTACATGGCATCAAGGGTGGTGAGTTCTGCCACCTTTCACAAATAGGCAGCCCACCGAGCACCAGCTTCTGTGTCCTTTAAGTGAACATCAGTCATAGTAATATCTTCTGATTACCCAAATCATGCAAATTTATTGACTACCCAGTGAGGTAATACATGTGGAAAACTTTGAAGAATAAAACAAAATTCTGTACAAAATATTATTTTTAGAATTTTTAGTAAACCGGGAAAATGGCGGTAAAAGCCACTGATATTAACATGTCATATGGTACCTATAATTCCACCACAATACTCTTATGTATAAAAGTCTTCTCAAAAAAGCAAAGTGCAAATGCAGTTAGCCTGAAAGACATAAAGATAAAATCTTCCTTTATGCAGGCTGGACCCATTAGCAAGTTCTGCTTGAAATAAGGAAAGCATCGACCTAGACCCCCAGTAAACACCAAGCTTAGCTGTTGCTGCTGCCTCCCTCTAGTGGCCACACAGCATAATGTCTATAAGGGCTACACAGAAACCAAAAGCTATGGTGAAGGCTAAAGGGTGATCAAGAGGTGGTAGATGTGGTAGAGGGTGGTGCTGGTGATGATGATGGAGGCAGTAATGGTGGAGGCAGCCATGGCAGAGGTGATGGTGTTGGTCATGGTGGCAGCAGCATTTCAAATAGTGCACTGTACTTTACAACCTGCTAGTGTACCTGTTATCTCAATATATTGTATTGAGAGGAGGAAGAAAATAAGAATATATGCAAATGAGAACACTGGGCATTAGTCTATAAGAAACAAGAAGTACAAAAAAGGCAGGAAGTTCCACCAATTTAAGAACAGATCAAAAGTGAATAACTTTAAAATAAGGAGATATTTTAAACTTGCAGAAATTAACCTTAGTTCAAATTTGTTACTACAAAGCAGCCATTCCCATGGTTTCCAGCACCATCTCTCTGCTGGTGATTTGCCCCCCACCTTCAATCCCCGTAGTTTTCCATCTACCTCCTGAGCTACAGACCTACATGTCCAAATATCTGAGGGGGCAACCCCATGTCAATTTCCTTGACACAATGTATGATTCAAACATATTTTTCAAATAAATAAAACAGGGGAACCTTATTGCAGAATCTTATTTTTCAATATGAAAGAAGAAAGAAAGAAAGAAAAAAAGAAAGAAAGAAAGAAAGAAAGAAAGAAAGAAAGAAAGAAAGAAAAAGAAAAGAAAGAAAGAAGGAGGTATTTATAACCAGGGAAGATATTAAACTATTTTCTTAGAAAATATGGGTAAATAAGCCCTGGCTGGTGTGGCTCAGTAGACTGAGCACCAGCCTGTGAACCAAAGGGTCGATGGTTCGATTCTCAGTCAGGGCACATGCCTGAGTTGCAGGCCAGGTTCCCCCAATAGGGGGCACTCAAGAGGCAACCACACATTGATGTTTCTTTCCCTCTCTTTTTCCCTCCCTTCCCTTCTCTAAAAGTAAATATTTTAAAAAATCTGAAAGAAGAAAGAAAGAAAGAAAGAAAGAAAGAAAGAAAGAAAGAAAGAAAGAAAGAAGGAAGGAAGGAAGGAAGGAAGGAAGGAAGGAAGGAAGGAAGGAAGGAAGGAAGGAAGGAAGGAAGGAAGAAAAAGTTCTCTAGCATGGTGCTCAATTTAGTTGTAGAGATTATTGTGTTGTGGGGGCTCCACCAGAAGGAAGGTATCAAAAGAAGCAGAATCAATGCATTCCTACCCAATAGTACAAATGTCTGCTGAGGGACTGCTCTATGCACACTGAACTTGAATGAGAGAAATTTAGGAAGATCTTGAATTTAGATAGCTGGAATCAATCTCTGATAACTTATACAATTCCTGGAACTTTATCTTGATTGTGTTTTATTGGTGAAGACACATAATTCATGAAAGAAATTTAGAGTTTCATAGATTAACTATACATGTGCTGAGGAAAGCATGCTCCCCTTGTCATCTCAGCTTGGAAAGAAAATAACCCTTTTCACAAAATCTCAGCTTAGAGAGCCTGTCAGTGTGAGAATCTGACCTGACATTCACAACCTAGCATAACAGCTCCCCTATTTATTTTAGTGAATCTTTGAATTAAGAGTCTACCAGGTAGGTACTAGTGAGACAAAGAAGAAAGACCTGCTGCAGAGGACTCAAGTCTTCATCTTGATGCTGATTCAGGTCGCTATGTAAACATCTAAGTTGTATAGGGACATAATCAGGCTGTACCTTAGAATGGCCCTCTTGGCAGCAGTGAAGATAAAGTGTTGAGTAGGAAAGAGATGGTAGCTTAGGGAACAGGGATGAGATGGGAAGTTAGTTGTGAGGACCAGGGCAAGGCAAAACCATTGGGAATGGAGGAAGAGAAGAAATTCAAGAGCTTGTTGGAAGATAGCAGATATTGAAGCTGCATACTGAGTGCATGTGGGATTTGGGGAAAGAGATTTTGAAGAGGACTCTCAGATGCCTGCCTCTGCCAGCTTTGCAGATAGTGATGTCATGTACTAGGATACAAGAGAAAGAAGAATTTTGGTAGGGAGGTAGAGGAAAGATGGAGGAGGAACATGTGGACTTTGAGGTTGCTGTGACATCCAGACCAATGTATCTAACATGTCGGTGGATAAACAAGTACAAAGCTCAGGTCAGATATGGAAGTCACCTACCCATTAATGGTATGGGAGAGAGTGGTCCAGATAATATCCCCAAGTAAGAAAAAGAGGAAGGGTGCAAGATGTAGCCTGGCCCATCAGCATCGTTGGCTTGGACCCAGCCGCATTTCAGACCTGTGTGGGTATTCACAGTAGTCTGTGAGCCCACAGACTACTCAGCCATGTTTTATTCCAGATGATCTCAAAGGGGCAATGAATATGCACTTTGAACAGCCTGTTTCCTTCTTACTTAGACCCACAGAAAAATTCTAACCAGAAAGAACAAGCCATAGGACCAACGCAATTAATGACCTGTCCCGTAGACAGCTCAGCCACTAAAAAGGCTACTCAATGACAGTGAAGAAAATTTGCTGTGTCCCAATAATTTTACCAGAAATAAGTTTTACAAAGGAATAGTCATGAGCTCCCAGCATCTAGAAGACTTCAAAAGATAAGGACAACCATCTGTAGAATTAGTGGGGAGGCCAGCCACTGTGCTCTTAAAAGGGTCTTTCCAGCTTTGAAGTCTTAAGTCACTCCCTCCCCACTCCATGAGAACAGTAATCTGCTTCTTCCACATTTTGTCTTCACCACCCAGGAAAAGGTAAGACCCAGAAGGGTACTGTGCAAGAGACACATCCTGGCACACATCTCAGTGCATCCTCACATTATTCCATGGACAGTGAAAATGTATAGTCAGTTTCCAGTTTGGCTCTGTGCTATGATATGACTTCAAAAAAATCACTCCCAACACTAAAGCCACGGAAATAGAAGGCCCCTACTCTATCTCCAGTGCTCAACTTCCTTATACTGGCTTTAATAAGCACGATGCTTTATCAGGGTAGGTCCCCAAGAGCCTCCCACTTCCTATTACATGCCCTAGGTTTTGAGAACAAAATAAAGCTCTCATGCTATGTCACAAAGAAGGATTACAAGGGGTTTTGGCAAGTTGGTGCTATCAGCTCCATGAAAGGTTGTTTTCATTCCCAAATCCATATGGTCCCCAGGCTGCGGATGTAGACTGCCTCCCATTTGTCTTCCTGACACTACAGGTTGCCTTGGCCTGCTCGGCCCTTGTGGTTTGGCAAGCACTCTCTTCTTACTCTGCCATCTCTGCTGTGTATTGGTACATGGCTGAGACACTGGCTGAACAACAAGCAGTACATGGGACTTTCCTGTTGAGAAAGCCTTGTGTGGGAGGGCCAGGGAACAAAACATGAGAAGAAGATGAAAGAAAAGGTGAAATTTCATAACCTTCCCCAGGGCATCATGGGATCTATTGGAGAAGCTCCTGTTGGCTAGCTGTTATACCACATCCATTCCCTGCTGATAAGGCATTTGAAGTTGTTTGGAGGACAGGGGCAGAGGATGCAGAGGTGGCTTCTATACCCCAACACTGTAGTGGGCAGAAGGAGTGTCAAAGAGCTCAGTGACATCTAGCACAAGCTTAAGAGCCCTGGGAGACAGGAGTCTTTGATGAAAATCTACATACATAGAAGATTCCAGAGGCCACATTTAAACTGAGTCTTGTCTTGGGTTATTCACTACAATCAACCCTGGAAGAAAAGCAAAAAGAAAAAAAGATCTAGGGAAAAGACAAAATAGAGAGCAAAGGGCAGAAAATTAGACCTTTACAGCAAGACAAAGGGACCTGATACTCTTTAGTAGGGCTCAGCTTCCTAAATGAATACCCAGCTTCAAGTTGCTAGAAGAAGCTAAACAATTGCTTTCCATTTCTGCCTAGCAATGAATGAAAGTTATGAGGGTAAACTAAACCATGAGTAGTTGACATTAGTCCTAAAGAGAAAAACCTAACATTTAAAAAATGTTCTGTGCAATATGTTCTAGGAAATGCGTGACATATTTAACACTCATGATTTCGTAGCAGCCTCCTGGAACCAACATTTTTTAAAAAAATTACAGCCCTTCCATATTGTTTCTTCAACTAAGTTATTTAATATGTTACATAGTTTGGTACAGACACATAGTCAGGACAGGAGGTACAGATGCAGCCATCACAGCCTTCTGGGAATCAGGAAGAGATGCCCACATAGCCTGCCCAAGAAGGTGCCTACATGCCCAGAAAAAGGAGCTGACTGATTGCAGGATAGAGCCCCCAGTGGTGGCCTGAAGGAACCCATTGGGTGCCCCATCTAAGCCCAAGTGTTCTACACCCACCCAGTTGGCTGTGGGTCTTCATCCAAAAATGGAGTTCAGCACCAGAATGTTAACCAGGATGGCCTTAGCTGTGTTTCTGCTTTTTGTAAAGGGTGGAAAGATATACAAGATGCCCTTGTATCTTCTATCAGTCTCAACACTTTAAACTTCCATAGAGAAAAAATTGGTCTCATTCACTTCTTTTCCAGTCAATACTTGCCTAGAACCTTCCCTCCTCAGTACCTAGTACAAGGCACTATTAGGAATGCAGGTATGAACAAGGCTGGCCCTGAGGGACTCCCAGATCAGGAACAGACAGTCGCAGTCTGGGTGAGAAGTATGCAGTTGGAGGTGGATGTAAGAAGAGGAGCAAGTAATAGTAGTGTAAACAAAAGATCTCTTCTATCAATCTAATGCCAACAGTAGTCCCCAACCTAGCGTATGGTAAAAGAAGAAACTCTGTTCAGGTAAACAGTTTGCAAAACCTGGAGAAGCATCCTCTAGTGGAAACCGAAGGTGCGTTCCATGAAGACAAAGGGGGGGCCAGTTTTTATAGAAAAAGTCCCCATCCTGGTTGGTCTATTTTTATGCAAATGAGGAATCCAAAGTTGCACTGTCTGGTCCAAATAACACTGTGCTGATTGGCCAGCTTCATGTGTTCTGAGTGGTTGTTATGGAGTATCTCTTGATTGGTTAGTAAAGATGCAAATGAATTTATAGCTGGGTAGTTTCAATTGCACAGGGCAGGTCTCAGCCCAGTAGTTGAAATACAGTATCAGAAATACCATTATAAGGACTGACTCAGCCAGCAGGAGCGCAGTTCAGGAAGCCAAAGTTTCAATTTTCAGCTTTTCCCTGAAATGTAGACTGAGTGAGAAGCCTCTGTTGGCAATGGCTGCTAAACTCTGGTTATGAATTTGTGCCAACTCAATTACAAGGAGTCCTTCTTGGCAGATATATTCCTTCTTGAAGTTCACAGTGACAACACTGGGTCTGCATGTCAGAAACCTGCAGGAGGACTGGCCTAGACCCTGTCACCCTCATGAGGCCACATGCAGACATACATGCCCTCCTGGGAGCAGAAGCACTGTGACCCCTGTGTGGCTTCCTGCTTCCTGGGCACAGATGGCTTCTGGAAGGTGACAGAATATGTGCTTGAAAGAGGCTTCTTACAGAAAGCTTAATTGTTGAGGCTTCTGAGAGATATTTTAAGATTGGTTAATTAATGTTTATAAGACACAGAGGAATCTGAGGATAAAAGGCTATGAGGAAGGGCAGGTAATTATGATCATAATGTAACTGGTAATGGTCCAGTTCATGGCGGCTGGAGTCCAAAGTCTCCCCAGCACTTCTGCACCATGCTACCACTTACTGCTGCCATCAGCCAGGGTCGTGCACAGCTAATACACAAAGATTAAAAAACAGCCATGGAAAACTTCAACAACAGAGAGGGATTTTTCATTGTTTGAAATGGTAGTAAGGGAAAACATTGGCACCAGCTCAATTTATTAATTGATTTCTAACAAAGCAATGCATGGCTCCATGATCATCATTGAATATGGGTTTATGGAAAACAAGCACACACTAAGAAAAGTGCCAGAGCCTGCAGGTGGCAAGGAGCCTAAGCTGTGAGGCGTGGAGGGGAGGTCCAGGAGGTGGACGTCCAGGAGGTGGCGTGGCCCGCATAGAACTTCAACCTGTGGTGGCAGAGCTCTGTGGGTAGGGTGTTCTGAGAGTCTGAATGGTCATGGGGCTGGCATATCAACATGAAGAAGCTTGAAAGACATAACAGAATATCAATGGGGGGTAAAAAACTTCAGTCTTACTGTGAAGCATTTGTCCATTTCTTTAAGTGTGTGCAACCCCAGAATCAACGTATATATGTGTCTTTTGTTCAGTGCTTCCTGAGAAGAAAGCAAATAAATTTCAGTTATCACCTGGCTGTACTTTAGGCTGTCTCTACAGCTCTCTGTGGTGACCTCTCCAGACATTGCTGTAGCCATGTTTGGCTGGCTAGTGCCATTCACTGTTGGTCAGCAGGTACTCACTAGGAGGTCCCAGTGTCATAGGCATAGACACATCTGCCAGTAAACCCACGAAGCCTCAGGCTCTGAGATGGGCATTTGCTGAGAGGGTGATCCTCCTCCAAAGATGCCTGGGTCCCTGGCTGGCAAGACAACCAAAGTACTAAACAGAACATATACATAGTGGGTATGCAGATATTTCAAGTGGATGATGTTGATGAAAATAGTGATGACATATATACACTAAAATTCATCAGTGAAAGGAATCAAAAAGGGGAGGAGATTTTTAAAAGATGAAAAATTGCCCAATATTTAGGGAAAAAATCTATTTTAAGACAAGCTGAAAACCCCCCAGTGATCAAAATGAGCTGCTGGCTCAGCAGGGCTCCTGATTCTCAGGTGTCTGTCTCAGCCCAACTTAGGTCATGCTTTGGTTGTGGGTATGCCAAGTGCTCAGTACTTGCTTGTGGTAGTGCCTGACTCACCTGCTTGCTTTGTCTTGTTTTTCCCTCCTGTAGCTACTACATATTGGAAAACAGACCCAGGAACATCTATGGCATGGTCTGCTATTCCTGCCTCCTTGCGCCTCCAAACACCAAGGAATGTGAGTGCACTTTGTCCTTCCATCAAAACAGTACTTTTTCAGTATTGATGTCTTGGATTACACCATGTGGCAGACAGAAGCTAATCCTGGAAAACAGACAAGTTAAATACAGTGAAGGCATAAACCCATCAGACATCAAGTCCATGAAGGAGGTTTGCTCTAGCTGAACCATGAGTCAGAGACTTAGGTCATTCACCTTGGACAGGTGACCTTAAACAAGATTCATAAACTCTATGAGCCTCACTTTTCTTCTCTGTAATTTGGTGGTACTAAAATCTGAATTAACCATGACATGCAATTCTTGGATAAAACAGTGAGATCACAGATACCAGAGTATTTTGCAAAGTACTATAAAGCTCTAGACAATTGTTAGTTCTCATACATTTTTTAAAAGTAAAAGATAGGCTCCCAGATGAGTCCAGGAAAAGTAAAAAAAGTGATAACAATTAATAAAATAGATTCCAGGAAGCCTATATCAACAATGAATCTCACAAGTTTAGAATCTTACCTTGGGATATTTCTTTTATGTTAATTTGGTTTGACTTTCATGGGCATGTTTATGAGGTCGTGCCAGGAACCTCTGCTCCAAGAATGCGTTGTGTAGTCTCTTTCTTCTGCGGTCTTAAGAGACATGAATGAAGGAGGGATGGATGGGCATCTGGGATGAAACAGGGAGTCTGTTCCCTGGACTGCTCTACTCCCACTCCAGGTCAGAAGAGGTGCACATACTGGAGCCCTGCCTCTTCTGGGTCTCAGTGAGTCCCTGCCCATACCAATTTTTCACCATAATCTTATCTAAGAGAATAGAACAAGGACCTCTCTCGAGAGTACCTAGGAGGAAGGGAAGGACAGCAAGAAGAGGGAAGCACCACCTTCCCTCACCTTAAGTTCAACTGGGAGAGGTGCTCTGAATGGTGGGGCAAAGGCTATTCCCTCCCTTACAAACTTCTTAAGTAGAGGAACCCGGCAATAATGAACTTGCATGTCTTTAAAGCTGAGCGTTCCTCATGTATGACGCACCCATGGACAAAGCCAAAGTAGGGAAGGACTGAGGGTAGGAGGTAGGGATGAGCAGGGCAGGGAAAAGTGGTGGCAGGAAAATGGAGACAAATGTATTAGAACAATAAAAATATATATATATATATATTTTTTAAAAGCCGAGCGTTCCTGCCCAGCCTGATTAATTCACCAATTAGAGGAAGTCTAAGGGCTCCTGGCTGCCAGCAGGACTGTGGTAAAGTTAGCTGCCATTGCCAACAAATCTTCTGCTGGGAAATCTAAACTGACTCCATATCAGATAGTTCAGATGAAGTCCTCAACTGAGAGGATGTCAGACACTCACCACCTATTTAGAAAAGGTTCTTTGCATATGGAACCAAAAAAACAAGCAACTCTTCCTCATGGGACTCTTTTGTTTGAAAGCTCACACATGCAGTGTGTCCTTTTCAATACCTGAAATTTGCAAAGCACCTTAGTCCTGGAGACTTTGAAAATAAGTGCATCTCCCTCCCAAGACCCAGTCCTTAATTGCTTAATTGAAAACCAGCACCCAGTAAAGTCTCCTAGTGGTTCAAAGAATCCAGTCCTGAAGGAGGCCAGCAAAGAAAATGGAAACTCTGTTAGCCCATCTGGGAAATGGGAAAGACAACCAGATAGGCTGTGTGGGGTCACATGGTAAATGGAGCCCTGCCTGGGTCATAGTCTCAAGTGTGGACATGAAAGTTACTTTCTCCACCACTGGGGTCTCCGCTTCCCCCTGCACAGGGCTCCTGCTCAAGAATCAGCACACGGCCTCCACAAAGACACTGAGACCCAAACTCACAGGACTGCCATCAGCAGCCCCACCAGGAACTAGGTGAAACTTCACTGATTGGGACTGCAATGTGCTGGCTGGTTGCTCCGGCCCCACCAGGTTCTGCCCTTCCTGACCCTATGGTCAGTGGTCAAGAACTCCTTTGTCTCCACCTGAGAAGCCTGCTTAGGTTTTGTTTTGATGTGACTTACCTGGGCCCTTGTCATGCAAAGCTAATGCTCTTGATTGCCTGAGTCAATGCATGGTGAATTACACAATCCACAGTCAAAAAAAAACCTGGGGCACAGATCTCAGGGAAAGCATGTGGGAGATGCACATATATGAGGTCTGTGTGGGCCAGAATGTGGCTGTGTAGGAGTGAGTCTTGGGCTGCATAAGCCAAGTCAGTGCCTGGGGCTATGTGCTCCTTCTCTCAGTGCTTCTCCATCCTTAAGGATATAATGGCTTTTCAGAAGTGCAGGGCTGAGATTCTCATAAGAGACCCAGGGGCTGCTAAGACCACACTGAGAGCCCTCATGTGGGTTATGGGACTGAGTTTAAATACCTCAGTTTCCTCACCTGCCAAAGATGTCCACCTCATCAGCTGTTGTGGGGCTCGATTGAGCTGTGCCCATAGGCGCAGCCACAGTGCTGGTTACTACGTCGAAGCCCATCCAAATATTATCAGGAGAAGTAGCAAAGCACTGCACAGTTATTGCATTTCCAGCACCATCAAGTAGGGGAGGGAAGCCAGAGGATAGCCCTGGTCACCATTAGTCCTGCCTTTGGAAGGCTGTGTCATCTTCATGCAAACAGACTTGTATGGAGCTTAGGATAGAGCCTGGATGGTACTCAGAGACTGTAAAATGCCATGTAAACCATGAAACCTCCCTCAGTTTCTGTTTTCTCTCCTGAATAATTGAGAAAATAATATCCTCCCAGTGTACCAATAGAGTTGTCACATACGTGCATAAAATATTTTGAAAATTGAAAGCACAAAGCATGTAAATGATGACTCTTCTATAAACCACAGGAGTGTGGCAGGGATGCTGGGGTATTCAGGAGTTTTGAAACCAGGCCTTCTCCTCTTCTGCTTCGGACTTGTCCATCAGGAAAGCTTCAAGCCTTTCTTCCAAAGCTTCGGCCCCAGTGAACAAGCAATGCTTTCATACATCCAGTCCCATTGCTATTTGTGTCCTGGAAGTGAGAGAAGAATCCCTTTGGTTATTTTCAGTTATATCAAAGAGCAAGATCCACTTGGTGCAACCAAAGCTTTCTGGTTTTTATTTTCCCTGCACATGCCCAAGGGCTGCCTTAGAAAAGAATCTATGTTATAATGGTAAAGATGCATTGTGAGAGAGGAAGAAAGGGAGTGGCATCAGATTTGGGGCACATTAGAGTTTTATCTCTTGAAACAGTTACCTAACTTTGTGTTTCAGTTTCCCCATCTGTAAAATGGGGATATTCATCTCACAAGATTGTTGGAAGGAGGAGATGACATGTCCAGTGTGTATGCAGCCCCAACTGCAGTGTATGCACATGGCACTTAGTATATGGTGAAGCCTCATGAGTGAGCACCAACCAGGTCTCCTGGGGCCTGTGCAGCTCCACCTTGCACAGTAGCCTCCTGTGCCTCATCGGGTCACGTGAGACATGGATAGCAAGAAACCCTCCCCCACAGAGTGCTGGAGGAATGCATGAGATAATGGTACGTCTGGCACCCAGAAGTTGTTCCCTTTTCATTGTCAACATTTTTATAACCACTCATCAGTGACTATGACCCCTGAGTCAAGTCCAGGATAGACTCTCCTTCTGGAAAATTCTACTCTATCACCAGGAGTGTTGTGTTCCCCTCTAGATGCTATTGTGTGATGCCCAACAGTGATGGAACTTCAATGTGAAGTCTTGGCCTCCCCAAATGCCAGTTTCCAGCTGTTTCCAAAGCAGTGTTAGTCATATTTGAATATGTGCACCCAGTATTAATGGTACAAAGACACTGCAAAAGACCAATATTCAAAACATCAGGTTTTGGGGTAAGGAAAGGGCTATTGATTGAGAAGGTGCCCACTCAAGCAGATGGTTCCTCAAATCCATCTTCCAAGAGCCCAAAATTTGTCTTTTATGGCAACGGAAGGGAGAATGGGAGGGACAAGAGATCATTGACCACTGAAGACATCTGGCTGCCAACAGGGATTCAAGAAAAAGTATGAAATCTCTAAATCTCTTTGTTCCTTTTATACTGTTTGACCCCTGCTAATCTGAGTCAGCCCTGAGGCTACCACAAATCATCTATAAGCAGTCACCATCCTTGTACACATTTCCTCACCTCCCCAGGAGAGGTACCCCCCCTGGCAAGAGGCTGTCCCTCCAAAAACTCACACCCCAAGTAGAATTCCTCTAATAATGAGCATATCTGTAGCAGGAGCTCTTCGCTTGAAGGCCACAGGAGAAATACAGGTTAGAATAAAGTCTAAGAAAATGAGCATTTCAATCTGTCACACCATCACCAGGGGTCACGTTAAGAAACAGGTGCTGCTGCAGCAGATCTGGGTGGGTTCAAAAACTGCCCTTCCAGCAAGCTCCCCAGGACTCCACTTTGAGCAGCCAAGTTCTAATGGCTCTGCCCACAGTTCTGCCAATAGGGGCCTCTGAGCCAATGCAACAGACTCAGGCACCCTCCTTGACAGCTGTAAGAAGGATCAGACAAATCATTCCTGAAAACCAAAGCTGTTTACCATATGCCAGCCCCCTCTAATATGCACCAGCACATTTATAAACAGTGTGGATTAACAAGCCTCAAAGGCTCTTAGTAAACCCTCTCATTACATTGAATAGAGGTCTAACTGCATTAAGTCACGCTCATAGATCTAAGAATCCTCCTGAGAAAGGTGAGTGTGCCCCCCCCCCACAGAGCCCCCATCTGCCTATACCTTCTGTCCACAGTCAGTGGTGCCTCAAGCTCAGATTCCATTTTCTTTTTTTTTAATAGAGATCTTATGTGGAAGTTTCTGTTTATTTTCTGGGACTACTGTTTTGAACAACCTTCCCTTACCCCTATTATAAAATATCTCATCTTTGCTTATTCAAAGCCAGGCTTCAAGTATTATGGAAGGTAAGACGAGTTAGTAGTTGACCACCTAATAGAAACTACACTGAGAAACATTTTCATCAGTGGTCAATTCCAAAGAGGCCAAGTGAACTGGAAAGACATAGCCCATGTTTGAGCAAAGGGAAAACGCCCAGCCACGAAAGAGTGTTTTTGGTGCATAAGACCACAGTAGAACCTGGAGCAGGACAATGTGCCATGCAGGGTCGTGGTGGCAATGGCATGCTGTCCTGAGTGTACCTGCCCTAAAGATAGATCTCTAGTCATGCAGCATTCCTGCCCACTCTCCCTGTGTATCCTCAGATATGCCAAGCTATTCATTTAATATCAACTGAGGCTCACTTTGGGGGGAATTGTCCAGAAAATAAGAGTGGAGGTATGGCCCAGCTTGCCCTGGCACCTGCCAGGTGCAGCGAGGTAAGCTTTACTGATGCAATAGCATGCACCCACTGTCTGGTGATGTGCACATGTAACCAGCCCTACCAGTCAGATGCAAAGGCATTTTATAAGTCAGCGTGCCACTAGACTATTCCCACTGTCCCTCTGTGGACCACAGACCTGGCTGCATTTGTGTCCCCCCACCCCAACTTCTGTCACACAGCCCCAGCCAGCAAGCCCAGGCATAAAGGGACAAGAGAGACAGATGACAAAGATGCACAGCTAGAGCCCACGGGTGGTCTTTTCCTGACTATATAGCTTAAACTCCCTTGAGCTCCTTAACAAAAAGGTAGATTAGCTTCATTTTCAAGGTTCAATTTGCTTGAAGCTATACCCCTTATTCTTTTTTCTCACTTCACTAGAAAAAGTTTGATAGGCTACCTCCCGGCTTGATGCAGACAGCTAAAAATCTGAAGTCCATCTTATCATTCTGGAACTTTCAAAGGGAATCCATGTGGTGCGTGAGGAGTGAATGGCAGGCCTCCAGATCAATCTTCTCCCTGGGAGCAGTTACTGAAAGACATGTACCCCTTCCTCGGGAAGTATACACCTTCACCAGCACCTCCTTGGTAGGCCACTGATTCTGAGGCCAGGTGAGAAGGCTAAATTAATTTAATCTCATCTAAATTTGGGGAGTGGGGAAAGCTATTTATTCTCCAGAAAGACAAAGAAACATCTCTCTAAGCTCAATACAAGTGGGGAGCCATTCTCATAGCAGGGGAGGTGCTGGAAGGCCTAGGAGAAAAAGAAATAAAAACCACACCTTCCAGCTGTTACCATAAACATTCCTCCTCCAACCACCCAACAAGTCCCATGTCCCACTTCCCAGCTTCCTGCCCTCTCATCCACCAGCAATTACAGAAGAAGCAGGGAGGCCCTGGGACACAAGGTCAGGGCATCAGTGAGCCCCGCTCTGTTCTGAGCATGTCACTTCTGGGATCTCTGTTGGTTCAGATGGCAGCCCATGCAGACCTGTTACCTTAGTGCTCTTTATACCTCTCAGCACCTCTCCCTCTCTTGGTAGAAGAGCTAAGAAGTCATCCCAATGACAGCAGTTGAGGGAAAAAAAAAAAAAGGAAAGAAGTGCATACCACAGAACTCACCATGCCCTGCAGAGTGAAAGGACTGACTCCCCCATCCTTTAGTGGTCTGGGTGGCACCACACTCATGTTTCAGGCAGGACCCTCACCGAGGAAACAACATGGAAAATTTCTCTGAGCACGAGCTGGAAGGGCAGCAGGATGGAACCAGGAGCATGCATACTTGCTTTGCCGACGCTCCCCAGGGTGAGCCCCTGTCCAGTGTTGAGGAGAATGTGAGCCTTCATACCTTTCAGTGCTTCCTAAAAAACCTGACTTTTGGCCCCTCAGGCGGCAAATCACATTTCTAATGTACACAGAACAGTTTAATTTCCTGTCTCAAAATCACATTTCTCATGTACCCATGACAGTTTAATCTCCTGTCTCACCTGAGCAACTGGCTGACCCTGACACTGTGACACTTCATAGAAATGCAGAATTATACCAGGAGCCAGGCCTCACCTTATCTCTCCCAGACTGCCATCCAATTTTACTTGTAGTTTCTATTTGTTTTCAAAGGTGTGGGGATCAAAAGTTTCTGATCCTGCTATCTCCTTTGACCTCAGCTTACTGGCCACATAAGTATGGATAATTGAGGAGGATTTTTTCCTTTTTTTTTAAGGGCTGTATTTTTAAGCATATTTTAGTGATTATGCTGTTACAGTTGTCCCATTTATTCCTCCCCTTTATCCCCCCACTGCCCTGCTCCTCCTCTCCCAATAGCATTGCCTCCACCTTAGTTCATATCCATGTGTCATACATGTAAGTTCTTTGGCTTCTCCATTTCCTATACTATTCTTAACTCTCCCCTGTCAATTCTGTACCTACCAACTATGCTTCTTATTCCCTGTACCTTATCCCCCATTCTGCCCCCTGCCCTTCTGATCTCCATTTCTATGGCTCTGTTCCTGTTCCAGTTGTTTCCTTAGTTGGTTTTTGTTTTCATTTTTTAGGTTCAGTTTTTGACATTTGTGAGACTTGTCATTTTACTGTTCATAGTTTTGATCTTCTTTTTCTTAGATAAGTCCCTTTAACATTTCATATAATAAGGGCTTGGAAATTATGAACTCCTTTAGCTTTACCTTATCTGGGAAGCACTTTATCTGCCCTTTCATTCTAAATGATAGCTTTGTCGGATACAGTAATCTTGGATGTAGGTCCTTGCTTTTCATGACTTTGAATACTTCTTTCCAGCCCCTTCTTGCCTGCAAGGTTTCTTTTGAGAAATCAGCTGATAGTCTTATGGAATTTCCTTTGTAGGTAACTCTCTGCTTTTCTTTTGCTGCTTTTAAGATTCTACCATTATCTTTAATCTTGAGATATTTAATAATGATGTGTCTTGTGTTCCTACTTGGGTCTAATTTCCTTGGGACTCTCTGGGCTTCCTGGACTTCCTGGAAGTCTATTTCCTTCACCGGAGTAGGGTAATTTTCCTTCATTATTTGTTTAAATAAGTTTTCAATTTCTTGCTCTCCCTCTTCCTCTTCTCCTTTTGGCACCCCTACGAGTTGGACATTGGGACATTTAAAGTTGTCTCAGGGGTTCCTAAGCCTTTCATTTTTTTTGAATTCTTGTTTCTTCATTCTCTTTAGGCTGAATGTTTATTTTTCCCTTCTGTTCCAAATCATTGATTTGAGTCCTGGTTTCCTTCCCTTCACTGTTGGTCCCCTGTATATTGTCCTTTATTTCACTTCACATAGCCTTCACTTTTTCCTGTTTTGTGGCCATACTCAATTATTTCTGTGAGCATCCTGATTACTGTGTTTTGAACTCTGCATCTGATAGGTTGGCTATCTCCTCATGGTTTAGTTCTTTTTCTGGAGTTTTGATCTCTTCTTTCATTTGGGCCATATTCCTTTGTCTCAGTGCACCTGTTACATTGTAAGGGGAGGAGCCCCAGGTATTCACCAGGGTGGGGCAACCCACTTTGTTGCATTATGGCTCTGTATGTATATGAGAGAGGGATCAGAGAGGGAACAATGCCAATTGCTCAGCTCTTGCCCCACTTTCAGTCATTTCCCTGGCTTCTCACAAGCAAATTGGGCCCTTCTGGTGCTGATTCCCAGGTAGATGGGTTTGTGTATGTTCTAGGACCCCATGGCTCTCTCCAAGGAACTCTCCTGTGAGACTGGGCATTTCTCCCACTGCCACAACCCCCACAGGTTTTTATCACCAGAGGTTTTGAGGCTTTAGTTTCTTATGCTGGAACCCTGGTTTGTGTGGTCTGTCTCACTCCCCAGAAGTCCCTCCCAGCGTATCTGCACAAGAATGTGGGATATACCGGTCAACCAGCCGCCACCTTACCCACCTGGTCTCCCACCTTGCTGTATGTCCTCTTCCAGCCAGCTCCTGGCTCTGCCCCTCCTACCAATCTGAATGAATGCTTTTTTCTTTAACTACTTGGTTGCAAGATTTCCATATAGTTCAATTTTCTGGCAGGTCTGGGGTTTTTTTTGTTTTGTTTTAAAATTGGTTGTTATCCTTTCTTTTGTTGTGTGAGGAAGCAAAGCCGATCTACCTATGCCTCCATCTCAGCTGGAAGTCAGGAGGACTTTTCTTGCCCAGGTGGCTGTGGTCATTGTCTCATGGGTTTCCCCAAGCTACAGGTACAAGTGGCTTTAGAAATACCACTCACAGAGTGGTTGGCTCTGTTTCTCCTGGGAGCCTTCTGTTACAGAAAACAGCCCTGTTTCTCACAGAAGCCTTGCAGACCTGGGTCCAGCATCAGGACTGTTCCTCCTGGCTGGGCTACTGGGAAGCCCAACATGTGTGGAGTTTAAAGAAGACACTCACTTATCACTCAGGGCAAAGCCACTTTCCCAGTTAATCCAGAATTGGTGGAGAAAAAAGCAAGACAGGAGAGAACTTATTTGAAACATGATCATTTTTATTAACTGAAAAACTCAAGTTTAGTCTAAAAGGAAAGTTCACCATTAGAATGTCTTCTCTGTGGTAGAATATTTTTGTTTGTTATTTTAACTGAAATATTTTGTGAATTGTCTGATCACAAAATCAGCTCTCATTTTATTTCTTCTAAGTAACACTTTTTACATAGAACAGGAGTTTTATGAATCACAGTTTTAAAAGAAGACCAAGCTCATAACTGCTCTTAGTTTCTTCACAACTATTTTTTAAAAGTATCATAACAAAAATCCTAGAGAAAAATGCACCAAAATGTTAACTTTAGACGGAGGCTGTGGGTGATTCTTTTATTTCTTTCTTGTGTTTTGTTTTTTTAAATAATGAGCATGTGTTACTTGTATAACTTATATAGCATATATTATTTGGGCTCCTCTCCATCCCATTCCTATTCTGGAATTTTAGATCAGTAGCTCTGTTGCTGCAACAGGTGTTCCAGTGTTAATGGTGGAGCTTCTGCAGGCCATCCTGAGAAATGCACAGCAACTGTTCTCCTTGCAGGTTCGGGAGCCACCTCGGGGGTCTCTGCCAACTTCCCCAGCACTGCTGGGAGCAGCACCCTCTCTCCTCTCCAGCATGCCCATAAAGGTAGGCAGGGTGCCTAGGATTGATATTTTGGAGTTAACCAGCTAGACAGAAGGGGGAGGGCTGAAAAGGAAGATAGGAAGGAATTATTAGAAGTAACCATGAAGCTCTTCTCCATTTCAAATCACTTCCCTAATGTAATTGAATCACATTCAATATGCCAGTTGCTGGAAGTTAGTACTGTCTTTGCAAGGAGTAGAGCCAATCCCTCCATGGATGTCCTGGACCCACTAGAGTATGTTGGTAATGAAGGCACATTCCCAGGGCGCCAGGGGTGTGTGCTCAGAATGCGAGTGGCGAGCGCAGGAGAGGAGCAGCTTCTGCAGCTTCCTGGGCTTTGGCTAGCCCTTATGTCTGCAGCAATTCTGTTGCTGGCTTTCATGTAAACCTGCTGATCTCAACACTTTACTACCTGTTTCCAATAACTGCATTTCAGTCCACTCCCCAATCCCTTTGGGATGGAAGGATGGAGGAGGAACCCCAAGGTCCACAGTTTTTCTCAGAGCAAGACCTCATAGTGGCTCCTCCTTCCCTCTTGTACTCTCTCAATGCCATCTGTTTAAGCATATTTAAGGCCTGGGTCCTCAGCGTGGCTTGGGTTGCCTTTAGATACCCACAGTGTATTCAGCATACATGCCAGGCTTCCATAGTAGTAGAACCAAGGGCAAGCCCAGGAAACAACTGAACAAATCTAAACCATGACATTCCAGAGAAGTCTGGCTCTGCCTCAGTTGAGACCAGCAAGGGGAGTTCATGGGCAGTCCTGATGAGGTGGCCAAAACAAACTAGAAGGGCTGGGTTCTCAGACTAAGTAAGCATTTTGGTTTCTAAGGGCCCCCAGAAAGTGTCCCAAAGGTAGGACCACTGCTTACAGGGGCTGCGGTCTTGAAGGAGAAAGGGCCCTGCCTGATGGATGGGTTCCTGTAGGGACTCTTGAGCCCTAAGTCATTGCCTTCTTTTCCTAACTTCAGCAGAGCTCTCAGGCCAAGGACACCTGGCCACGGCTCTGATCATTGCCATGTCCACCATCTTCATCATGGCCATCGCTATTGTCCTCATCATCATGTTCTACATTATGAAGACAAAGCCTTCTGCCCCAGGTGACTGCTCCTCAATGCCTTCCCCATATCCCTCCTCCTTGAACAGCTCCATCAGTTTACCCAGTCTGTGAGCCTGGCTGCTCACACACTTCTCTTTCTCCAACTAGCCTGCTGCACCAGCCACTCAATGAAGAGTGTGGAAGCTCAAGTGAGCAAGGAAGAGGACAAGAAAGAGACTCAAGGTCTGCAGAGTCCCCCACAAGTGTGGGTGCCCATCTCCAGGGTGCAGATTTTCTGCCCCTCTCGCCACTGCCCTGGTGGCCTGGCCTTCTAACTGGCTATGCTCTTGTGTCATAGGAGTCATAGGAAGGGGTGTCAGTGCAGCCATGTTGTGCTTAATTCTTATGGTAGTGTGGTTTAGCCACCAAGTAGGTCCACTAAAGAGGGAGTGAGCAGTAGAAGGAACTCAGAGCTACAGCTGACTCTAACTCCCCCCTCCCTCAATCTTCCTATTTTCCTACAGATAGTGTGGTGATATTCTCAGAGAAGGATGAATTTGAGAAGCTAGCAGCAGTTCCAGCAAAGAATGCCAAGAGGTATGTCAAACCAAAGCAGCTCCCAGTAGTCCCCATTTCCAGGCTGAAGTGAGGGGGTCCTCAGGCGTCCTGAGTAGGAAGGGGAGCTGGCCATGCCAGGTGAGAAGTGCACTGAGAAACCTCTCAACTAGCCTGGTGGCTGTGCTGGAGACAGCTCCAGAGTGAGCAAGGCTCCAGGGACCAGCAAGGCATCCCAGTCAGCATGGGGTCACAGCCTCACTGTTGACCTGAAGCAGGGACCAGGTGGTATTAGGGGCAGGTGGTTAACACCTACCAGCCACTCTGGGTTGGCCTCCTCCCATCCTCCAGGGCCAGATGCTCCAGGCCTTTCTCTTCAACATCCACCTTCCTCATGGAGACCCCGAAGCTTCTGTATGACCTCTTCCTCGCCAACAGCATGAATAATATTCCTGCTGCTGCTGCCCATGCAAATACTGACAACATAGTGTTGAAGCTAGAGCTGATGTCCCTGTAATACTGTGACAGTGGTGATGAATACAGCTACCAAACATTTGATGCTGATTACCCACCAGACATGAATGTGTTACCTGCATAAGCCCAATGAGCAAGGTGTTAACATTGTGCACATTTGTAGGAAATTGTGGTTTGGATGCTGTCACGTAACTGTGGTCGCATGCCCAGTAAGTGGCTGGGCTAGGAGCCAAGTCCAGGCCATCTGGCTCCAGTGTGTGTTCCACAGGCTATGGATCAACCACTAACACTTAGAGAAGTAAGGCCTCTTCAGGAAAAGATTTGACACATGAAGTCTTTACCAGATTTACCACACACACACATTGAGATATGGAATCAGCTCCAGTTTTAACATCTAAGGTGAAAGGAAGTAATTTTTTATTTGCCCTCTTGTATGATCACTTGAAATCTACTTAGGTTCCAAAAATCCATCCCATGGTAACGGTCCACCTCATGGTTGTCCCAGGACCCCACCCAAACAAATGTCCCTGTTGCAGATGGGGGTGCAGAGGCCATGAGAAGTCACTAAACTGGCTACAGAAAGAGCAGAGGGTAAATCCCTCCTCTCCTAACTCCCAGCCTATGATGTTTCCAGGGTATGTGAACTCTTGCAAAGCCTTGCTTTTTAGGAATGATAATGAATCTAGATGTTCGCATAGAGCTTTGGCATTTATAAAGCACAACCAAGCATGTTATCCCATTTGGAAAACTCCGCATTCTTGATACAAGGGCAGGAAGCAAATTTAAATCATGAAATCTTTGCATACTCGGAGAAAAAAAGGAATTGTGTAGACACAAACTTGGCAGTCCCTTAGAAAATGGTATTCCTGATAATTGCCTCTGTTACCCATGATCATTTTTCAAAACCCCATGAATTTGTGGTCTGAGCAACTTTGTGCACAATCTGGCAAGGATATGCCAGGTCCAAGCTGCTGTTACCAGGGTAGAACTCAGGCTTGCAGTTGTATGGTGGGGACTTGGTTCTTCAATGTGCCTCTTGGGAGATGAATTCCTCCTCCAGTCTTCATCTGTCTAATCCCATGTTGTGCCAGCCTCTCTCCACCTGTACTTCCAGCCATTTCTCATTCCGAAGAGGAGGGGGAAAAAAAAAAAAAAAGAACACTCAAAAACACAGGGATGCATCCCATCACTTAGGTTTCCTCTAATGACTGAGAAAATATTTGGGGACTCTACTTGGAAGAATAATGCTTATTTAATACACAAATGTTAAATAAAAATTGACACTTGACCATTGTTTTTTAAAAGACAAAGCACTGAGATTTCATTCCATCTGCCTTCTCTAGGGTCTTATGAAAAGGAACTGAGGCCGCTCAGTGGTCTGGGGACAGTGGGGCTTTCCACCTGTCCTGCTCTCCAATGAGGACAGCCGCAGGCCACCACCTCCCACGAGGCCTGAAATCTCCTGAGTGTCACCCACCATTTTTGTTTTCTTTGCATTCTCCTGTCTCTAGAGTTATGTTCAGTGTGGGCTTCATTACTGTAATCCAGTCAAGAGAGCTCCCCAAGCTCAGGCTCTGTTAAGCTTTTTTTTTTTTTTTCAGTTATTCCAGAGAGTTGGCACAACATAAACTTGTTTTGTACATGAAGACACAAGGTTGAGGTTTGCGCTTCTCTGGATGACATGCAGAAAACTATAACATATTCAAGAACACTTTCTTGAAGTGGGTGGAGTGGAGGAATGAGCACAGCACCTGTGGGCCACTCTGGGTCCAACTTCCTGGTCTGAAAAGAAATAGATAGGAGGCTGTCTCTCTTTCATCTTATGTCCCACACCCTGTGCCCACAGTCTGCTTAGTGAAAGCTTAAGAAACAAGTCTCTGTATCCCAACCATGAATGAACCTCCTTCTTGTTTCCACAGTGAGAATGATGCCTCGTCTGAGAATGAGCAGCTGCTGAGTCGAAGCATGGACAGTGATGAGGAGCCTGCCACTGACAAGCAGGGCTCCCCCGAGCTGTGCCTGCTGTCACTGGTCCACCTAGCCAGGGAGAAGTCAGCCACCACCACCAAGTCAGCCGGGGTGAGGTTCTGGCAGCCTGGCCACCCACCTTCTGACTTACTGTGTAGTTGGGTAATACGGTATCACTCCCACAGCCCCAGTCAGGAAACCTAGAAGGAGTGACATATTTAGAGCAAGATATTTTAAAAATAAAAAATGTATTTCTTATATATAGTTTCATAGAAGAAAATGAAAAATAATAAGCAAAGACAAAAAGTTAAAATTGCTTGGAATACCATAGGACAGAAAAAAACCCTTTGTAAACTTACTGGCCTATATTCTACCACACTTATAATAGTTAAATATATCTATTTATATACTTATCTATATAATATATGAATACATAACTATATATAGACACAGTATGCACATTTTTCATGTATAAATGCTCCACATGGTTTGTCACCTGAATCAGCCCACCTTGGAATGTGCCATGGTAGGAGTGTGGGCAAAGGTGAGCCAAGCCCTGTCCCAGGGTGTCTGAATGCCTAGCATGTGGTTCACTGGCAGCTGGATCCAAACATCAGGTCAAATAAGTTGCTAGGCAATGATGTTCTTGCTAAAAGTGTCTCTGGTTGAGAGGCTGCATCTGGCCTGGGTTCTCACGGGGACATCATGCTCTGTGCTGCCCAGTTCAGTGACCTCTGCAGTGGGGCCTGTCACTTGCAGAAGCCTGGAGGCCCATGGAGTGGTTATGAGAGATACTGGTTCCAGGGGAGCCTGTGACCTTTCAAGCAGGGCCACTTCTGCACCATCATGGGCCTCATTTCTTGGCTGCCTGCTGTTAAGCTGGGGTCCCCAACATATATCCTTCCAAACAGATAAATGGCAGATGTGGCCTCTGGTTTTCTTGTGCATCTAAATGTCCAGTGAAGCCTAAGAAGCCCCACCAATGGGCATTGAAGGTGCTTGACTTGGATAACCCAAGAAAGGCTTTCTCTCTGAATTATGGATAAGATGTTCATATGAGGACTTGATTCAACATTTCTGATTGGAAATCAGGGTAGAGCAGCTATCTGCCAACACTGAGATGGAGGGCTTGGTTTGTTGTCTGCTACCATTTTCCCCTTTCTGAAAATTAACATTCTCTTAACTTTTTTCATAGATTCAAAGTCGAAGGAAAAAAATACTGGATGTGTATGCCAATGTATGTGGAGTTGTCGAAGGTGAGCATAAGAGCAGTATTCGGCAAGACACTCACCCCAGGTCTTTCTCCAGGACTTTCTTCTGACCACTGACCATGAGAAGAAGGCTCTGGCCAGAGTCCTGATACTCTTGGGAGGGGTCTGAAAAAAGTCGCCCATCCAACTTGTCATGCTCCTCATCAGACAGGCTGGCTGAACTGATTTCAGGATGGAAGGACATGGAATTTGACTCCAAGCTGTGTTAATACATTTCCCCAGCATTTCCCAACACCCTTCCCTCACAATTTAAGGAGCCAACATTCACCCAAGTGCAGGGCCTCACTGGAAGGACACATAGAGTCAGGATACTCCGGCACTCCAGCATGCCCAGCACACTGAGCCTGGAGCAGACTTGCTGCTTGTGTGCTGTCTTGGTCAGAAATAACTGCTGAGGGTGAGTTCAGGAGGCCAAGAACTTTACTCAGGGGCTAGGTTTTCCCTTGTGCCCTCCAGATGATGTCTCTATTTTGGCATTATCATCTTTGAAATCTTTGATAATCGTCATTTATCCAGTAATAGCTATCCTTCCCCTCCCCTCTAGCTGCTCATGGTATATGACGGGGAGGTGTCCCCTCATAAAGATACCTTCTCATTCACCCAAGAGATGAAACCCTCATCACTGAGGTTAGGGAATTCTTCCTGGCTTTCTCTGGCCACTTGGTCTTGTCTCAGTGTCTCCTCCATGGACTGCCTCATCTGCCCCAGGCAGCAGGAGTAGAGCCTGGCACCCACTCATTTTTCCATTTGAGCTGAGCCCAGCACACTGAGCCTGGAGCAGGCTTGTTGTTTGGGTGCTGTTTTGGTCAGAAATAACTGCTGAGGGTGAGTTCAGGAGGCCAAGAACTCTACTCAGCTGTCTGCTGAAATGTGGTCTCTCTCCATATTCATGCCCCAGGGTCAGTCTGTCTGATCAAGCCTACATGACTGGGAGCCATCTGCTGCCCAGTGGAGGATGGTCTGAGATTTGCATTTTATCACTCAAGAAAGCTCTTCCCTACTCCAAAGATGCCTTTGTTTTAAGAGCTCATACTACAGGGTCAGTTTTTTCAAATAAATTTTAGGAAAGAGGAGCCCCTCCAGTGAGACTGGGAGGTTGAAGAGCGTGAAGCCCTGTGCACTTAGCCACCCTCTCATGGGCAACCCCAGAGTGCTGCTGAGAACCTTAGACCAGCAATACCCAGCCTTGAGTGGATATTAGTCATTTGGAGAGTCTTATGCTAGCTCCCTCTATGCATCTGCCCCCAGGTCCTGATGTAATTAGTCTGGGGTGAGTCCCAGTCATCAATGTCTTATGTTTTGTTGGGTTTTTAATTAAGCTTTTTATTTTGAGATCATTGTAGTGGTAAGAGGTGATACAGAGAAATCCTGTAATACTACTCGTCACCCAGTTTCTCCCAATGGTAACATCTAGCCAAACCATCCCTGTAAGTCACAATCAGGATATTGACATGGATACAGTGAAAACCGCCCACTCCCTCACCACCAGGATCCCTCTGGTTGCCCTTTTATAGCCACATCCACTTCCTACCTACCCCACCCCCTCCTTAGCCCCGGGCAACCACTAATTTGTTCTTGATTTCTGTAGTTTTGTCATTTCAAAACCGTTATATGAGTAGAATCGTACACTAGTATAACCTATTGCAAATGTTTTTTTTTTAATTCAGCATAATTCATTGGAGATTCACCAAGGTTGGTGCATATCTCTTAGTTTGTTTCTTTTTATTCCTAAGTAGTAGTCAGTGTTAAGGATGTACCACAATTTGTTTAATTATGCATTCATCCATTTAAGAACATCTTGGTTGTTTCCAGTTTAGGGCCCTTATGAGTAAAGGTGCTGTAAATATTCATGTAGAGGGCTTTATGTGAACATAAATGATCATTTCTTTGGAATAAATGCCCAGGAGTGCAATTGTTTGGTCATATGATAGATTAGAGTTTTAAAAAACTGCCATGATTTTCCAAAATGGCTTTACCATTTGCATTCCCACCAGCGTTGGATGGCTGACCTAGTTTTTCCACATCCTGGCCAGCATTTGGTGGTTTTATTGTTTGGGGCGGGGGGGTGAGGGGGGTTTCAGTCATTCTGATGGATGTATTTGATATCTCATTTTGGTTTTAATATACATTTCCTTAAAGTTTGAACATCTTTTCATGGGCTTATTTGCCATCTTCATATCCCTTCAGTGAAATGTTTCTTCATGTCTTTTGCTCATTTTCCAATTGCATTGTGTTGTTTTTTTGTTTTTTGATTTCTTTGCTGTTGAGTTTTGGGAGTTTTTAATGTATTCTTGATACTAGCCCTTTGATGGGTGATCTAATAGATTGCTTATTTCCAAATATTTTCACCACTCTGTCCACTTGTCTTTTCATTCTCTTAATAGGGTCTTTCATAGAGCAAAGTTTTAAATTTTGATAATCATATTTATCATTTTCCTTCTATAGATTGTGTTCTGATATCAAAGCTAAGATCTCTTTGTTTAGCTCTAGGTCCCAGTGATATTTTTCTGTGATTTTTTTCTAAAAAGTTTTGTAGTTTTATATTTTCCATTTGAGTCCACAATCAGTTAATTTTTTTCTTTTCTTTTTTTTAATTGGAAATGCTATTACAGTTGTCCCATTTTTCCCCTTTTGTCCCCCTCCACCCAGCACCCCAACTCCCTCTGGCAGTCCCCCCTCCTTTGATCATTTCCATGGGTCATGCATATAAGTTCTTTGAAAACTCATTTCCTATACTTGTTCTTAAAATCTCCCTGCCTATTGTGTAACTACCAATTTGTACTTCTTAATCCCTTCACCTTTCCCCCATTTCCCCGACCTCTCTCCCAACTGGCCCCCATCCCAATGTTCTCATGTCTATGATTCAATTTCTGTTCTGCTTGTTTACTTAGTGTGTTTTTTAGATTCAATTGCTGATAGTTATGTATTTATTGCCATTTTAACAGTCATAGTTTTGATCTTCTTTTTGTTAAATTAGTCCCTTTAACATTTCATATAATAATGGTTTGGTTTTAATAAACTTCAGCGTTACCTCAGCTGGGAAAAATTTTATCTGCCCTTTGATTCCCCATGATATCTTTGCTAGATAGGATAATCTGGGTTGTAAGCTCTTGCTTTTCATCACTTCGAATACTGTTTACCAATCCCTTCTTGCCTGCAAAGTTTCTTTTGAGAAATCAGCTGACAGTCTTATGGGAACTCTTCTGTAGGTATTTATCTGCTTTTCTTTTGCTGCTTTTAAAATTCTCCCTTTCTCTTTAACTTTTGGCATTTTTATTACTATGTGCGTTGGTGTGTTCCTCTTTACATCCATCTTGTTTGGGATTCTCTGTGCTTCCTGGACTTGTATGTTTATTTCCTTTACCAAATCAAGGAAGTTTTCTTTGATTATTTTTTCAAATACATTTCCAATTTCTTCTTCTTTCTCTTCTCCTTCTGGCACCCCTATTATGTGAATATTGGAACATTTGAAGTTGTCCCAGAAGCTCCTTACACTATTCTTGATGTTTTCCATTCTTTTTTCTTTGTATTGTACTGATTGGATGTCTTTTTCTTCCTTATGTTATAAACCATTGATTTGATTCTTGGCTTCATCCACTCTATTATTGATTCTCTGTACATTGTTTTGTTTTTTTTTATTTCAGTCAGTACCATATTTTTCCATGTGTAATGAGCACTCTTTGCCCAATTTTTCTTTCGCAGGAAAAATAAAGATGCACATTATGCATGACTAGTACTTGAAATACCTTGTATTTGTTCTTGTGTTTATTTGTTACATAAAATTTCTTGTACCATAATATGTTGAAAAATAAATGCTAAAATTCCTTTATAATACTAGAAACAAGTATCTAAATATAAATAAATTTAAAAATTGAATTAAAAATTAAAACAAAAATTTTTATCCTGAAAGTTTGGTCCAAAAAACGTGGGTGTACATTACACATGGCAAAAACATGGTATATATTTCATTTCTGCCTGGGCCTTTTTTATGCTGTTGAAGTACTCACTGAGGTCCTTGAGCATCCTTATAACTAGTGTTTTGAACTCTGTATCTAATAGATTGCTTATTTCCATTTTGTTTAGTTCTTTATTTGGAGTTTTGTTTTGTTCTTTCATTTGGGTCACATTTCTTTGTCTCCTCATTTTGACAGCCTCCCTGTGTTTGTTTCTATGGATTAAGTAGAGCTGCTATGACTCCCTGTCTTGGTAGCATGGCCTAATGTAGTAGGTGTCCTGTAATAGGCACAGCCTCCCCTATCTCCAAAGCTGTGTACTCAAGGTGCACCCTCTATGTGGGCTGAAAACTCCCACCTCTTATAGATGAGTCTTGATTGCTATCAGCAGGTCAGACATCTAGTAGGACTGGCTGTGACCCCTGGCCAGCAACCACATCCCTACATGGCTGTGGAGGTGGTTGGGTGGTGCTTTAATGTAATCTGTAACTGTCTGCTGGGCTTGCAGGCTCTGGGGTTTCCCAGGTGGTACAGGCCAAAGTCAGCCTCAGTCCTGTGTTCTGTCTGGGGCCCCTTGGCATAACCTATAAAGTGATCTACAGTGGCTGCTGCCAGTGCCAGGACTGTGGGCATTCAGCAAGAGGCACAAGGGCTGGGCTCAGGTGTTTCTTGTTTGAGAGGATTTAGGTAGGTCTGAGTGAAGCCTGTGCCTAGCCCAACCCTTCATATGGAAAAGCCACTATTACTAGTGGGGGAGGGTTGCTTATGTGGGCCCCTAAGTTGGATGGGGAGGACCATTAGGTAATCATCAGGGCAGGGCTTACCATTTGAACCAGGTCAATGGAGATTCAGATATGGTACCTCCACTCTGTGGCTCTGTGTGAGGGAGGGCTCAACAAAGGTAAAATTGCCACGATCTACAGTTCTGTCTGGGAGGTAGCTGTCCCCCAGCTCTCACCTTGATGCCAGACACTTCAGTTCCTCTCCATATGGCACTGGTGCCCTCAAGCTGCTTCCCCATTGCTGGAGCCC